AATTTTAACAAAACTAAAATTAGTAAATAAAAAATTTTTATTTTTTATATTCATTACCTTTGATATATTTCATTCCAACACTTTGATCTTCATATACAAGACATATGTCTTGTGGTATTGGTGTTTGTTGTGGAGATGATTGATATGTTACTGTTTGAGTAACTGGAGCAATTGGAGTAAATGTTGAAATTTGAGAAGTTGGTTGAATTGATCCTGCTATTAATGGAACACCTGAGGGAGATAGTTGACCAGGCTGCTGTTGAGGTGGATTAGGACCAGCAGCACCAGTAATATTACTCGTAGCAGAAGCATTAGTAGCAGCGGGTGGTGGTAATGAATAAACAGGTTGTGATACTGGTGGGACAGATGTTGGTGGACCATTATATCCAAGAGGTGTTATAAAAGGAACATTTGGTTGTTGTGAAGAATTTGAGTTCCATGGTGCATTAGGTTGCATTGATGTATTTGATATTATTGGGTTAGATGATAGAAAAGAGGGTATGTTTAAAGTTCCCTGTGTAAGATTATTTAAAGTGGCCAATAATGCTGAGGAATCCATTGTTGTGGGATTCATATTTTTAGGATCTGTAGATGATGATGATGGGAGCAATAATGATGATGAAGGCAATGATGATGATATGGGATTAATTACTAATAATAATAATTATTATTATTAAAAATAAATATAATAATTGAAAATTTTAGATTTTTTTCCAACTGTAAATGTTCATTATAATTTTCCTTTTTTTTTTTTAATAAAATAATATACATATTGTTCAATCCAAAGTTATAAACAATGAAAATAATAAACTAAGGTATATGATTAAAATTGTCTTTTTTCCTTTATATTTAACTGACCATTATTAGAAGAAGAAACAATTACTGATTTTGTCTCATTAACACTGTTAACCAATTGAGTGATCAGAGTGATTTGATTAAAATAGATGTCTTTTATCCTTTGAATAACCTCATTGTTATAAACTTCTTTGTCATACCATAGGTCAAGCACACGCTCCACTTTGTCCTGTAAAAAAGTTTTTTTTATTATATGTACGAGTTTTTAATTAATAAATATTTATTATATTCAAAAGATCACAGAGTTATCATATTCATTATTGAAATTATTGTATAATATTTAATAGGAATAATTAAATCACACATAGCATGTAAATTGTTAAATTGTTTTCCTTAATCTTCCAAAAAAATTTTTTATAAATAAAGATTTGAATTATTAATATCTGAATATACATCTACTATAATCAAGTGTTATTCTTCCTAATATTGATTAAAAATTATTTCATCTTGATAATGATAATAATAAATTATAAACTTTCTCTGGTGTTGACGAATCACAATTATTGATGACTCTTTCTCTCTCCCAATCACTCAACATTTAAATAGATAAAAAGGTTTTATCTATCAAAAAGCTTCCCTTGTATTGTTATTATTATTATTACTTTATCATTGTCTTGACCCCCCTGGATCTTTCTTTCTCGCTCATAAATAACAATAATAACCAACCAATTACAATAAATAATAATAATAATGGTAATGATTTATTAAAAGACTCATACCTTATCATGTTCTGGACATTGCATTATATGGGTGAACATTTCCTCCAATAGTTTCTCAAATCTATCAAGATATTCTATGCCTGTCCATGATGGTGAAGATGATTGAGATGTGTTTGTGTTTGATGAGATGTCATCAACTTTTTTTGACATTACCAATACCTTTTTTTTGAGAGCTGATTGTGATATTGAATCTAACACATATAATGCTCCCAATTTGTAATCAGATGGACATCTTTGAATGAATTTTTGTATACTGTATACAATATTTTTGTATTGCTATATATTATTAAAAATTAATATTTTTTTTAAAAAAAAAAAAAAGAAAAGAAAAATAAATTAATCAATGTTCTTTCCCTTAAATATATTTATGAATTGATTAATATAATTAATTAAAATTTAAAATACATCTGATTTTGATGAATGAATTTGTCAATGTTTTTCATCATTTAAATAACATATTTTTTCATACCTTTGGGGTATTAAGAGCTATTTTAGTTAGGTCTTTTATTTTTGAAGCACTAGTCCCAGGCGGTTTTCTTTCAAGTAGTTCATTTAGTTTTTTATCAAATTCAGGAAATTCTTTGGTCGTTATTTTTGTCATTTTGTCTGAATGCTAAATCAAATAGGTAAGAATTTAAAACAATAAGATTTTTTTAAAATTATATATATATAATCAAAGACGAAAAAATAGTAGTTTTATTTTTTTATTTTTGTATTACAATGTCATGCATACATTATAAAATTTTATTATTAGACAATTATTATTTTTATTATTAATAGCCCATCATTTTTTGTATCATAATTTTTTGTTGTTATGATTACTTCTTCCATATGAAAAGCTTCAGCTGAAGTTGATTGGGCAATTCTTTAGTTTACATAGTCTCTGTATCATTGCTAATATCAAGACCAAGTGATAACTATTGATATTTATAGATGATATGAATATATCTTTTGGAATTTTCAACCATGCATCATGAGTCAATTGGAGAAGAAGATTAATGCGCCATGGTTTAGGTTTTTGTGCAAATTTTTTCTTTTCAAATACAGTGCAAAACAGTTTTTTGAAGAAATCATAATGTATATGAATAACATTTTCTCTTGAATTTAAAGTAACATGCAGTGGATTCAACATTGGAACAATATTCTGAATACCTTCAAAATCACTTAATTGATAATTCATATACAATGTAATAGCCTTTCTAATAAAAAGTTGTCCTGGAAAATCAGCTATTACTGGTATTACATAAATTTTAATAAACTCTAATAATCCATCTATATTTGTTATCATTTTAATTGGCTAATAAATAATCTCTTAAGGAACAAAGGCTTTGTTGTTTTATATCAATTAATTTTATTGATTCCATAGATCTTTTTTCTTTTTTTCCTTCAATATCTGCATCATATATATGAACTGTTGAAAGTTCAACACAATCAAAAATTTTATCATCAAGAATTTTATTATTAATCCACTATGATTTTATATCATTGTGACTTATATCAAAAATCCCCATATATTCATTAATTAGTTAGTGTTAATTAATGAATCATCAATATTTTTAGGATTTATAATAGGTATATTATTAAATTTAGCAGGAACTGCAAGAACATTCTCAATTTTTTTAGCAACACATGTTGCCATATGTGTTTCTGAAGATAATGATGCCGAATCAGGTTTTCTCCACCCATGGATTGAATGATAATCATCAATATTAAAACAATGCATGTATTGTAAATTTTTTAAAAAATATCTTTTATCATTTTTTGATGATTTTTGGCAAATTTTTTTTTTTATATAACCTTGTATTGTTTTATAGCAAGCTGAGATACCCATGTTTGACAAAGTGTCAAGTGCCGCAGCATTTGTTCCATGTGCTTCTAGATAGAGCCCAAGATCCAGTTTAAAATTATTCACAAATTTATTTCTTATACTGGCTAAAAGGTAGCAATAACCTACAATAGCCTTTTTTGTTGATTCCTTATTTAAATGAGAATGATTTTTTTGAATGATATTTATTAGTTCATCAAAAAATCCTATTAATTTTGGTTCCTTAATCTACAAAAATTTGCAGGATCCAACACAATGTCATTTTGAATTTTCTTTGTTATTCATAAGAACATTTGTTAATGATTCTATTTTATCAACAAATGATAATGTACCTATAAATAGAAAATACAATCAATACAAGTAACACAATTTAATGATAAAAAATAACATAATTACTATACCCACTTTTTTCTGATTGTTGTTGAACTGTTAAATAAACATTACTAACATCAATTAAGTTCTCAATTTCTTTGATTTGATTACTTTTTTTTCAATTGTTGATTCTAAATTTTCAATTTTTGAAATTAATGAACCAAAGTATTCCTTTGATGGAAGAACACCATTTTCAGTAACATTTATTTTTATATTATCATTATTTTTGGAAATTTCTTCATAGATTTTATTGCTTCTTAATTTTTTCTTGTTAAACTCTACATATTTCATATAATGAATATGACAAATTTGATTTTTTTTTAAAAAAAATAATTCATGCTTCCACAATCTGGGCTTTGTTGTGATTTATTAAGTGCAAGACCTGTCATAGTCTTAAATTTAACCTCAGTATTTTTGCAATTAATAATTATGCAAGGACCATGATTTTCATCATTTTTTATATTAATAATGATTAATAGGAAAGAATTGTAGCTGTTTTTTAAATATTATATATAAGAATTTTTATTTGAATTTTTGAATTTACATGAATTAATTTCCTATGAAATTTAAAATGAATTATCCTTAAAGTGTTGAATGAGATAAAGAATTACACGAATTTGTGTTACTTGGAATCTAAATTTTGGTGATTCTTTAACAAATGATTGGTGCATTTGCTTTTGATAACCATTATTGAAATAATGTTTCTGTTCATTAATACTCCCACCCTGAAAATTATTTGCATCCCGCAACTTACTGCGCCACGGCGACGAATTTTGGGAAAAAATTTCCAATCAAAAATGCAATAAAATTTGTTTTGTCATGTGATATTTCCTAGTCATTCCATAAATAGTAAAATCGGCAATAAGAATAAACATTGGGTTACCTAATATGGATGTGATCATCAACTAAAAATTCAAAAACTTTTATTTTGTTTCGATTTGTTCATTTTTATATATATACCATCAGGATGTGCAGTCAGATTAACCAAAGAAAATTTTGAGAATTCAGGCTCCAAATATCTATAATCAATAAAAAGTTTCATGCTGGATCGTTTCCAGAGCAGTTTTCATGAGAGAGAAAAATCTTCAATGGTTAAATTGCTTCGACACTTCTTGTAATTGTTTTAACGTTAATAATGATCATGCAAAACAAATATACCAATCGTTTGTTTATTATCATGATAAAGAATCTTATAATAATTACCTATCACTATGCGATGTAAAAGACATGATAAATATGCTCAACGTTTATGTAAGATGCTTGCACCATATTTTACACGTATATTATGGCTAAAATTTATTCAATACTCAAAATTAATTACGAATCGTTAATCATTCGAATAAACATTATTCGAATAGAAACCCTGATTCTTTGTTGCTATTACTGACCTATCGGTATAGTTTTCGGTGTCCTGTCTAGTGATAACTGTTATAAATTTTTTAGGAACCATGCCCATTTTGCATAATAAAATTTCGAGATATATTCAAAATCAATAGTAAAATACAGATCTTTTTTTCAAATCATTTCCTCGCTTCTATTGAAAAACCACATATAATAAACAACTGTTCCATCACATTTTCATAACAGTCTTTATGTTACCTGCGCCATATCATTGTATCTAACATCCCAATCAGTGATGGTATTTACTCCAGGGGTACTGTCGCGATAGGTTTGGATAAACTCTTTCCTAGAGCTCCCCGACATGGTTTCAGGGCAAGATTAAAAATATATTCTGAAAACCTCAATTCAGGACAACTAGAAAAAAGACTTGTTCTACCTATAGTACCAATAAAATCATTTTATTGTTATTATTATTATTATTATTATTATTTATTTCCTCTGATCTAATAAAATATAAAATACATATTAATTAATTAAATACATAATAAAAATACAAATATATAAATATATGAAATTATGATAAATAAATAAGCTTATAAATTAATTATAAAACGATAAATGAATAGGTTAAATATTATTGTAATTCTTATAATTATATTTCCGCCGGTAATTCCATTAGCAATTGCATTTCAAATTTGATTACCTATCTATATCCTCTATTAAAGATAAATCATCATAGTAATAATGTCTTGATTATTATCAACAAATTATTTATAATTAATCATCGCCTTCCTTTTCATCGCCATCATTACTTTTAATTTCAACGGGTAATTCTATGTCAAATTGATTATCAATATCTTCTACATAAAGACACATATAGAGGAAAACAACATGTTATTATTATTATTATTATTATTGAATGAATAATTATTACAACTACTAGTAATAGACTATTAATTAATAAATTTACTAACCTGGGGGTTTATCATCCTCATCAACTCGTTTTTCATCACCATCATTACTTTTGATTTCAACGGGTAATTCTATGTCAAATTGATTATCAATATCTTCTACATAAAGACACATATATAGAAAAACAACATGTTATTGTTATTATTATTATTGAATGAAATAATTATTACAACTACTAACCTGGGGGTTTATCATCCTCATCAACTCGTTTTTCATCACCATCATTACTTTTGATTTCAACAGGTAATTCTATGTCAAATTGATTATCAATATCTTCTACATAAAGACACATATATAGAAAAACAACATGTTATTATTATTATTATTGAATGAAATAATTATTACACCTACTAGTAATGGACTATTAATTAATAAATTTACTAACCTGGGGGTTTATCATCCTCAACAACTCGTTTTTCATCGCCACCATTACTTTTGATTTCAACGGGTAATTCTATTGAAAATTGATCAAAAAAAAAATTTTTTTTAACTAAAATAAAAATCAATCCTTTTTTTTTTTTAATAAATAAATAATATATTTTACCTGGAGGCTCATTGTCATCAATATTATCAGGCAACTTAATTGAAAATTGATTATCAATATCCTCTAAAATAAAAAAAGTGCACATATATATAATTGTTTGTATTAAATTTACTATTTTAATTATAATTAATTAACTCATTTACCTGGTGGTTCCTCATCAACATCATTATCCTTAACTTTATCAGCCTCTATTTTTTTTTTCCAAAAAAATTTTATTAAAATTATTATCAAATTTAATTTTACATAAATAATCTTGTATCAACCAGATAACTTAATATCGTCTTCATTACCCTCGTCATTTTTAATTTCATTAGGTAATTCTATTCCAAATTGATTGTCAAGATCCTCTTAATTATAAAAAAAAAATAAAAATGAATGTTAAATATTTTATTGAAAATTATTATATATATTCCTTCGTGATTTAATAAGTTTATATTAAATTTGCTATTTTAATTATAACTCATTGACTTGTTTACCTGGTGGTTCGTCATTACCATCATTATCCTTAACTTTATCTTTTTCAAAAAAAATTTTATTAAAATTATTA